GAAAGTGCAGGAGGGACAGGTGAAGTAGCCATGGTGCTAACGAGTCGGCTACGAGCTAAGCTAAGCTAGCGAAACAGTACAGACACAGTGAGTGAATACGTTGGCTATAAATTAGGTAGTGAGTACACAGAAACTGTGCTTCGGATGAAACGTGAAAATTATACTATGAAAAATGAATGTATATAAAAGTTTTTAATTAAATTGCTAAGCAGATAAGCTACTCAAAAACACCACTGTGTTTGAGCAGGAACAGGAAGTGATACTCTACCGCAGAGAGAGCGAACACCAAGTGACAGTGCTACCAAGAGTTAGGAGCGATCCTTTTCAGTTTTTTCTTTCATCATCTCCAACTCTCTTTGCTGTTTAAATCTCTCATGGTTCAGCTGTAATGAAAATTCTTTCTGCTATTCAAATGTTAAATTTGTGATTGCTGATACAAGTGTGTTTGGTAAAACCTTACCTTTAGTTCAAACCAAAATCCTTGCAGTGTTTTAATAGTTAAAACATTGAAATCCTGCCTCCAAGTATGGTTCCTGGAGGAAGACTGTGTGGATAGGGTCAATGCAGTAAAAATCTGTCACCAACCTTGACTTATCAAAGGATTATTAGCGAGTTCATTTAACTACATGTGTCTCAGATTTTGTGTGTCACTATCATTTTCTGTAGCACAGTTATGTGCTTTGGTCTCCTAAAAACCCCTGCTATATTCCAGTGTCTCATTCACATTCTTTTTGTACACATTGTTTTGTTGGTATAAACAATTATCAATTTTCACATATAAAGAGTGAAAAAAAGTTTATAACAAGAAAGTATTCTGTGTGATCTTGGCTTCAGGTTGTGTGTTTGATTTGCTGTCTGCCACTGATGCTGACACTTGCATTCAAAAGGAATTTTAAAAAATTATGTATTTTATAATTACTTACACTTTCCTCTGTTTCTCTTTCTTCTCTCCCCCCCTCTCTCTCAGTGAGCTTTTGGGTCAAGACTTTACAGAGACATACTACACAGAGGATGGGAAACCTGTTACTCTTACTAATCACAATTACACTGTAAGTATAAAGAAACAAGAAGGGGTAGATGCCTAAGAAAATTTCAGTTATATTATCAATCTATTCAGGCTAACTCATCGTAAAGAATCTCCTGATTGTAACATAAACTCAATTTATGTGCTCTAAACTTGGGTCTCTGTTTGTGAAGTTCATTGTTCCAAAAAGCAGGCAGATCAGTTCCCTCTCTTCATAGAATGATTCTTTTAACCCAGATTTTTGAGATAAAACTATATAAACAAACAGACTCTGGTAATGGTGCTAAAGTACTGAAACTTGTTTACTTCCTGTTTCTATTTGAAGGGCAGTCTGAGATTATAGGAGAGCGAGAGGGTGAGATCACTTTACTTTGGTATGTTTGAATTTGTGTATTTTTAGATTTGACAATGCACGCACTGCTTCCCTTGGACCAGCTGGCGAGCACTGTGAGGGTCATGTTCTTTACTTTTCCATCGCATTCAGTACCACCAGGCTGACCCTCCTGGGTGATAAGCTGAGAGTGATGTGGGTGGATGCCTTTCTTGTTTCCTGGATTGTTGATTGTCTGTGATGACACAGTGTACCGGGCTGTGGTTGACTTCTTTGTCACGTGGTGCAAGCAGAATCATCTGCAGGTCAGTGTGACAAAGACCAAAAAAATGATTGTGGACTGTAACCTCTGGTACAATCCAGGGGGTCATTGTGGAGGACTATAAATAGCTCGGAGTACACATAGATAATAAACTGGAGTGGGTTAAAAATACCACTGCATTCTCAAGGAAGGGCCAGAGTCAACTCTATTTTCTGAGGTGGCTGAGAGGGTTGGACTTGGACAAAAAATTGGCCTGGGCATTTTGACTAGAGATTAGCTCACCAGGTATTATAGGAAAAGCCATGAAGCCTAATAAACTTAGACCTACACCATCCTCCCTATTCTGGTATTCTAGCCCGTACTTAGTGGAAACCAAAAGACTGCTTCGTTAAGTTAACCTCCTGAACTATCTACAGGGTGGGCCATTTATATG